TAAAAATAAAGTAAAATTAAATAATATTGATGTTACGTGATGCTTTGAAATAAATAAGTTAAAATTAAACAAGATCTGATATATATATATATATATTTTAATTTAAGGAATATTTTCAGGGCAGTGATTTTCAAAACTATAACATTACAAAACGATTACTTATTTGATATTATATCATCATTAAATTATTAACATTAAAGTGGATTATTTATTTTAGTAATTTCTAAAATTCGGAACGTAAAATATTCTAAGTGTAATGAAGGGGAAAAAAGATAAAATAAAATCTAGATGCACTCAGATTTTATATTACGTCAAAAAAAAAAAAAAAAAAAAAAAAAAAAAAAAAAAACTTTTTTTAACGTTTTGTGTGGTACCTATATTTATTGAATATCATGTTCCTCGCCCGTAAAGCACATACATTTGAAAACAGCATATTTTTAGAATTTCCGCACTGGAGATAAAAATGTTTTTTTGCGTGTAGTGTTACCATTGCTCGCTTTGAACTCGATGAGTTTCTTAATAAAAAATTCATTAATGTTTTACAAAATATTAAATAGATTAAAACAAATTCGAAATTCGACCGTCCATATGTCCATGTTCGGGTGGAGGATTACATTATTCAAAATTTGATGGCTCTAGATTCCGCCGTTTTTGTCACAGCGCGAGAAACATACATGTATTCATGTAGAATCTTCATTAAATTTCTTTAAATATAATACAGTGCGGTAATATTTGGTAACAACAATTTGCAAGGAGACACGGACATTTATAGTGAAACAGCGCAAAATGCCGCTTCGAACTAATAAAGTAAATTAACAGTAAATAAAAAAAATCTTATGTAGAACTAAAAATAAATTAAAAAATAATCACTATAAAATACAAGCAAAATTAATTATTACGGTTAAATCCAATTTTAATATTAGAATTAAGTGTATAAAAATTAAGGAGTCAAAAGGGTTTATCACTATGATATATGAGAAATATGATTGAAATAAAATTCCTTAATAGAAATTGTGCTATAATACTCATCTATAATTTTAACAAAGCAGCACAATTTAGAAATTTAAACAAAAATTTCAAAAATTCATTTTAAATATTTTAGTATTTTTATTTATTTACAACAATAAAAAGCATAAAAATTGCAAGAGAAATTGCTTGTTTTAAATTTTTTATTAGTTAAGATTTAAAATAGTATTTTCTAAAAGAAGTAGTTACAAATTTCCTTACAGCATAGGAAAAGCTAAAAAAATATCCAGCCCTGAAAGCATGCAATAGCTTTATAATTATTTGGAATGATAATTATGCTCGATAAATATGCTAAAATTTTTAAAATCAATCTCAGTTTCAAAAATAAAAATATGTAGAAATTCTAATTTGTGAAATGAGGCGCTACAACCAGCTTTTTCTTGACAATTATACACGCTACAATAGGCAATCACTGTTAAATTTCTGCAAGTCGTCCCTACTCCTCCGGATGTGATCACAGTGACAGCCGGGAACGCGTAAGACGAGGGAGGAAATCCATTTGGGTTGGTCTATTTCTTATAAGGTCCATGTAGCTAACCAGGCCATGTTATCTCGCAGGCCACGCCCACGTCACCCGGAAGGCAAGAATTCACGGGAAGCAAATGTTTCTCTTCTGTTAAATACCAATGATTGCCGTCCTTGAAACTAAATTTCATCCATCCCTAACTGGAAGCTAACAGTTTGTTCACAGTGAAGTGTTGATAAATGACGAATTGTCAGTAAAGACGGCACGCGAAAGCTGCTTGTTTGCAGGACTAAATAGCTTAATAATTTGACAAGCTGTAAAAATTTAAACAGAACTATTGGCGTAGTATATAGTCTGTTGTTTTTTATTACGGTTTAACGAATCTTTCAATATTATATTATGCATTCCTTTATTATTAATCTATGCGTTATATGAAATATAATTTTCTAAATACTAACGATTTATCATCAGTTAATTTATATAAAGACAGATATTTTATAGTATCAACTTTTTTTTTTTCACTTTAACGGTTTTATTAGCTTTTTTTTTCCCTCCCTCCCTCTCTCTCTCTCTCTCATTTTTTTTTTTTTTTTTTTTTTTTTTTTAAATTCAAAGAGACTTTGTTCCTGGAAGGACTATTACTTTTCGTTTTGCGATTTTGCGTTGATCACTATAAATGGCGTTCACTTTTTCAAACTGTTGCCACCAAATGTTAGAGTCCTGCATTATATTTGAAGAAATTAAATAATGAAAAATCTGCATAAATGTATGTATATTTCTCGCATTGTGATAAAACAACGGTACATAGAGTCATCGAATTTTGAATAACGTAATCCTCCAACGAATATGAGCATGTGGAAGACCAAATTTGAAATTTGTTTTATTATTTCGATTTCCTATTTTTGTAAAACTTTGACGAATTTTTGATTAACAAACTCAAGGATTTCAAAGCGAGCAATGGCAACGTTATGCAAAAAAAAAAAAAAAAATTTATTATCTCCAGCGCACGTGAGTCTCTGTATCGGAATTCTAAAGATATGCTCATTTTAAAATTATTTTGCGATATTGCTGTTGTTGAACTGGAATTATGGTTTAAGTGCGAGGAACATGATATTTAATAAAGAAAGGTAACACACAAAACGTTAAAAAAACGCCCCTTTGGACGTAATTTAAAACCTGAAACCTTTCAGATTTTTTTGTTATTACGTTTCTTTTAAATATGAATGTTGGGCCCTCAGCCGACTTCAACTTGGCTACTACTAAGGCCAGAAGTAGTCACTTTATTATGCAGGCAGCTAATAGGTGGGCCACCTTTGCCTCCTATGAAGGGACAGACAATTAGAACTATGTATTCCCCTGGATTCGAACCCAGGCCGAGGTCCACCAGCGGCCGAGCGTTAAAATCGCTGAACACTGGTAGTTCGGTCCGAGGTTCGAATCCCGCGAACGGGCTGGCTGCATTAGCGTTTTCGTGGTTTTCCTCATGTGTAACGTGTATACGAGCCAGTTTCCCTTAAAAAGTCCTCCACGAAGGCATCCCTCCCCTTAGGCAGGTAGCCCTCGTGTGCTTTGCCATAATTAAATACACACATACACATCTCCATGTGTAATATGTATAAGAGCCAGTTTCCCTTAGAAAATTCTCCACGAAGGCATCCCTCCCCTTAGGCAGATAGCCTTAGTGTACTTTGCCATAATTAAATATACACACACACCGAAATAAAGTTTATACAATCCAGTTTTTGCTGGAGAAAAAAAACTGGCATAATGAGGTACCTTTAGGTAGATAGTCCTCGTGCCCTTTGCCATAATTGAATGATCCTAATCCATCCATGTTTCTACGAGTAGTTGAATTTTAGTGTTCTTTAAGGAGATGGTCGCCAATCGTTTATGGGCTACTAGATGGTCCGGCTCTGAGTAGATTATACATTGGTGCATTGTAAAATGCATTAAATCCTCTCTAAGGCGATCATCACGTTTCTAATTATTTTGGTCTTTGGTGGAAGAAGTGGTCGCTCTTAAAGAGATAATGCTCGTACAAGTGTTAATTTCTACTCTGGGAATTATTTTGGAAGAGTCGCATAAGAGGTTCATTGATATTAAATTTTAAACCAGTTCATGTGGTTTAGGATTCATTTTAATTAGATTTTAAAATTTAGTAAAATAAAAAATCTGAAGGTTTCAGATTTAAATTACGTCTAAAGGGGCCTTTTTTTAACATTTTGTGTGTTACCTTCTTTATTAAATATCATGTTCCTTCGCACTAAACCATAAAATTCAGTTCAACAGCATATCGCAAAATAATTTTAAAATTGAGCAATTTTTTAGAATTTCCGATCACAGTCTCACGCGCTGAGAGATAAAAATGTTTTTCTGCACAACGTTGCCATGCCTTGCTTTGAAATTCTTGAGTTTGTTAATCAAAATTCGTTAACGTTTTAAAATATGAAATCGATAATAAAACAGTGCCCCATATTCGCAGTAGGATTACGTCATTCGAAACTCGATGGCTCTAGGTACCGTTGTTTTATCACAATATTTAGTGGCACATTTGAAAGTGAAACGGACATTCAGAGTGATTCGACGCAAAATCGCAAAATGAAAACAATAGTCCCTCAGGGACTAATAATTTTGAAATAAACCTCTTAATTTTAATAACTGTGGTATTCTTGTTTTCAAACTTAGTGCAAAATTAAACAATTGTTTCCTGTGCAGATACGTTACTTTTAATTAAAATCAAATGAGAAAAAAAATATGCGAAAATTAATTAGCTAAAAAATTTAGTACTATTCTTATCGCAAACCGTAACTTGAAATTGCATCTACAACTGTTTCTTATACCAAAGCTCAGGATGAATTCGTTTTCTGTTGTGCGTCAATAAATGTTTCACTAAACCGCAGCTTAAGGCTATAACTACATGTGGTGCGAGGAGAGTAATTACTAAAGACCTGACAATGACCGACGCTGGACAACCCGCCTTCCCCGCTGGCTTCCATCTCGATAACTTTTCCCGCTAAACTCCCCTCTATTTTTAACTTTAACAAAGAAACCAGCAGCTAGCAAATCTCCTTGTTTCTACTGGCACATGTTTCCGGTAATCCGAAGTTACGGTTGTTGAAATAAAACTTTTATCACCCAGCTTGGCGATCTTTCTACACATGCCTTATATTTCCCTTTGCAAACGAAGGGTGACATTTTTTACGTTCCTTATTTTCCGGGGACATTCTTTCCGTTTCCCTTTTTTTTCCGGGTGACATTTTTTCCTACAACATGCTGTTGCAAATGGAAAGTGGTGTATGGAAATCTGATCAAGAATTTAATGCAGTTACACTTTTTAATAACTATTTAGTAATTTTAAATTCATGCTGAGCAATTTTTGTGTACCACGTCAGTAAGATTACCAAAAACTTCATTTTTGTGCTATAAATTTTTACAGAAACAAAGATCTCATTCGAACTTTTTTAAAGTATATAATTTATAGAGAACATGAATTTTTAATGCATCTTACCATTAATCCATGTTTGTCAGTGTAATTACAGTACTGCTCCGTAAAACACTGAGATTTTTCTTCGAATAATTCATCTGATTCTGTCGTCCACGAATTCACAATATCTTGGGGGTCTGTAATGTTATCACTAACATTAGAAATGCTACAGTGAAAAAAAAAAAAAACTGAATATAATCTTGTTTAATATTTTAGCCGCTCATTTTGTTTCTTTTCAAATACTGAAGATCATATGTTCAAAAGTTTTAAATTTTAATATGTAAAATACGTTATTGTAAAAACGCAGTAAAATGTGAATTCGTCGAATCCATTGTGACAGACTGTAAGTAAACAACCCCAATCTTTGTTCAATGAACACCGATTTAATTATTCTTCTATGAAATTAGACACAATAGCAAAGAATTTTTGTTCGTTCTTACACGTTCTTATAACTTTTAAATGTGTTTAATAAGCTAAAATTTCTTGTTATCAACCCTACCAGCAGATCTTAAAAAGTTAAATTTATGGATTTATAGGATGGCAAATTTATAGGAAATTATAATTAGTTTTTTAAATTTATAGGATGGCAAATTATTACCTTTTTAACAAAATAAAAAAATAAAAAAAAACGCCCCCATGTAAACATAATATTGAACATTACCACCCGCTGCTTATAATAATACAGCTAAAAATTGAAATAAAATAAATATTGCGACTTCTTCATTTCCTGTTTACTAGCAGGTATAGAAACAGGCTTCAGAGTTGCAGTTATTGCCTTGATTATTTACAAAGAAAACCTTTTTGAAGTTACACCTCTATGCCTGACGAAAAACAAACTACTTTCCTACACTTTCCAAATTCCGCTAATGTGATTCCTTCTAAACTTCTGGTTTTAAAGTGGCTCTTTAAATTAAGCAGCAAATGCAATGAATAGAATTCAATTGAAACGTCGGTTTGAATTACATCTTAGATTTAACCTACGACGCTTGCCGTAGATTTTATGTTTGTCTAAGCCAGTACGCTACGGAGTGCGAATATGCATTTACAACTTTTAAAGCTTGAAACACGCACGTCTGCGATGTTATTGTCGTGCGATGATTTGTAGATGCTTTATTTTTTACCACGATATTTTCAATGACGATGTTTTCAAACTGCAAAATTTCTGAACCGCTTTATTGTCGATGACGATGTTTTGTACTACGATTTTTAAGAACTGCGATATTTCCTTCTTGCTTTCTTTTCCCCCACTTTGGGACGACGATGTTTTGGTCTTGCATTGTTTTCTTCTCGACGTTTTCATCTGAGGTGTATTTGCCGCAATGTTTTCGGCTGCTACTTTTTATTTAAAAGGCATTGCGGCGAAACACTGCGAAAAGTACTACTGTTTTAAAAAATAATGGCTAATACAGGTACTGCATACTTACATTTTCTACGTACTCCTGCGAAGTTCCCTGACATTTTACATATAGACTATTGTGCCTTTGGTCTCTTGAACAGAACTCTTTCGAAACGCAAAACGACCAGATTGATGGAAAGTAGTGGAAGAGAAATGGAAAACAACAGTCCTAGAAATTTTATGAAAATCCCGTCTATCATGAAAAATTACGAAACAGATTTATAGTCCAGAAAAAAGGTTATAAGATCGAACATTTAAAAAAATACTCTTTAAATATTAATCAAAACCGTAATCCCTCTAAAAATGTGTAAGCCCTTTCAGTATCTTTGTATTTGAAGTGTATTTCTAGTTCCTCATGTTTGCGCTGATTTCAACTTCCTGTTTATCAATAAACGTTGATCAAAACTTTTTCATTTATAGTCAAATTTTTTATTTAATAGTTAAAGAACATTTTAATAACCATGTCATTATGCAGATATTACTTACCCACCCTGAAATGGTAGTACAAAAATATGTTTATTAATGTTTAATAACGGTGAAAATGTGTAAGGTCTTGTCTAGCTCTTTAACCAGTTATTTTATGTTAATTTGTCCCCCCCCCTCCTCATTTCCCATTTTTCTGCCAGACTGTCAATTTTTAGCTCGGGTGATACTCAAATTAGGTAGAAAGAAGATGATATTTAAAGGAAAGTTTTATAGAGCAGAATCAGAGCATATTCTGCCTCTGAAGGTCAAGTTGCTAATTTGATTCTCTTGAGAATAATATTCTGTGGTGTTGCGTTATTCTCGCCATTAGGCGCGTCACCCTGACTTTAGGTCAGAGCCAAACTGCAAATTACTTTAATTGTGTTGCTGTTAGATTAACTTACATTTACAAGTAAAGTCAAATTCCTTACTCTGATTTAAGTCATAAATACTGGCTTCTATAAACACGAGTGGTGTCCTCTGCTAAACTTTTATTTGAGTTGAATGAAAGGGTTCATCACAAGATGTAGTGATAATTCACTTTAAGTCTTAAAACGTTTTGTATATTGTACCCTACCTAAGAATACGAGATATTACGCTGGCGCCCGAACTCTGAATATAACCATGTCACAAGAAATCTTAATGTTTAGTTTGGTCCCCTCAACATCTCAGCCTCCTCAGGATACAGTTAATCACATGGAGGGATTTGGATTTATCGTCGACACCATAAAAGCTGCTTTGAAAAATGCAGTCACTTTCGATGGAAAAACCTCAGTAGTCAGCTTTATTGAACATTTGATATCCCATTTTTCAATGAATCCTGCGACATAAGCAAAAAAATTACTATCGCCATTGCTACACTTAGAGCCTAGGCTTCTACCATAAGTGCATTAAAAAATTTGTATTTGGTAAGCCTGGGAGAGATACTTACTCATTTAAAAATTTTAAAAGTGCTCTCATTGAAGCATTCCCTATTACGAAAGAGAGGGCTAAGCTTCGAGTCTGAGCTATTTAGTAAATTCCAGATTGTTGTGGACTTTAAAAGGTATTTCTCCCGCTTTTCTAGCGTACCTTCGTGGTGTAGTGGTTCTGCCCGCTGGGCCGGTATATCTGAGGTCCGTGGTTCGATTCCCGGCGAAGGCGATTGCTAATTTTGCATCTCTATGGCTTCGAAAAAAATCGCCTAATGTCTCTACAGTGGTGCCCGAAATAAAAGGGTGTTGGATGAAGTTTCTCCACACCCAGGATTTGACGATTGGGTCTCCTAAAAACCTCAGTCGCCCTTTAGAAAGGGGAGTATAAAGTATTTCTCTTGCTTTCGTAGCGTACCTTCGTGGTGTAGTGGTTCTGCATGCTGGGCCGGTATTTCAGAGGTCCGTGGTTCGATTCCCGGCGAAAGCGATTGCTAATTTTTCATCTCTCTGGCTTCGAAAAAATAAGCTAATGCCTCTACAATTTAAGCGATTTTATTTTAAGAGAAGTTCAGATTTTTAATTTATTGTACGGCAAGAGGCCAGATGAAGAAACTATTACTGCCGCAAACGCAAAATTATTGCAGGCTCCACAATCCTTTGACTTCTGTTTGATTAGAACGAAGTTTTAAAGTAGGCGTGTGGCTGAAAAAACACTCATGACAGGCCAAATAAGAGAATGGATGAGTTATAGGCGAGGCCAAATGGGCAAAATTTTAGGCCTGCGTCTCACTAAAGGCTACAGTTTGGACAGAAGAGATAATTCGATCTTAGGAAAAAAAAAAAAAAAAAAAAATTCAACAGCGAGTGGTGGTCTCTCATATGAAGGGCAAATGAAAAAATCGGGGGGAAGTAATACGAAAAATTTTAATTAGGAAGGAGTATTGAAGATAAGCGGGTACAGTTACCCCGAAGACAGGAAAATCCCTCAAAATTCCAGTTAAATACTATCATAGTTAAAAAGTTGAGTTGCAAATTGTACAGGTGTTACTAAGTAAGGTTCCTGCAGAGGCATTGATCTATACTGGAGCTCAACGTAGCTTAATTTCAGAAACGTTCTTTAGAAAACACTTTAGAAAATATAGACTGCATTGTATAGGAGTGGCAAACATTATTGCCGCCCAAGGCAAGCATGCCTTGCAAAATATTATTTCAAGTGCAAGTTGAAAACAAAAAATTTAAGGTGCTCTTTCTTGTCGTGAAAAATCCTCAAGTTGCCGTAATTTTAGGGGTAGATTTTCGAAGGTAACAGGGATTCTATTAAATTTTCGAGATTCTATTTTACGCTGAGGTAAAGACGAATGCAGTTACCGGAGATTGAACTGAATTATTTGGGGGCGTATGAAAAAGAAAAATTACCAGAACTGGTAAGTCAGTTTTCAGAATTGTTTGATGATTGCCCAGGTTACACACATTTCGTAATTATATAGTTAACAGTATAGATACGAATACCGAGGCTCCAGTGAATCAAAACCTTATTTTTACGATAAACTAAAGGAGAAAATATTAACAAAATATTAACCTCCATATGCAATCATTACGCTAGCCCGGTAGTGCTATGTAAAAAGAAAAATGATCTCCCAAATACAAAGTATGGCGTTTCGCTGCTGATTATAGAAAACGTATCAGTATAACTAAGTATGTTGTCTTATCCCTCCCCCTAATTGAAGAGATTATTAGGAAAATCAAATGGGAACTACTCATGATAACGTCGGATCTAACATCTGGCTATTTCCAAATTGACGTGAAGCGTGAAGACGTCCCGAAAACCGCACTTCTGGCGTTTACGCCTTTTTCAGAAGGCCGTCCGGCTTATGCGGAGCACCGCAACCTTCCAGCGTGCAGTGGATACAATTTTAAGGCTAGTCCTTAGGAAGAATACATTTATCTACTTAGACGATGTAACAGTTACTAGTGAAACAATAGACGAACATATTAAAGACTTACATGAAATATTTTCGTTTCTTTATGAAGCTGGACTGAAAGTAAATGCTGCCAAGTTCGCAGCTCCAGAACTTCGTTACTTAGATTATAAAATATTCAAGAAAGGAATTGAAACGGAAAACTCTAAAATAATAGCTATCATAAATTACCGTCTGCCGAATAATGGAAAGAAGCTATCTTCATTCTCAGCCATTTGTTCATATTATAGAACTTTCATTAAAAGACTTCGCTAAAATAGCTGAACCATTGTTACAATTAAAAAAATAAGTGACTTGTATGGAATATTAAATTATAAGCATATTTTCTTGCATTTAATTTAATCTTATTGGATTGTTCGTCGTTAACGCATAAACCACAATAG